TATGAGTCAGGGTTTTCTTCTTTCATGTAACACGGAAATTAGGTTACCATGCTTTGCTGAACACTGTGCTGCACTGTGTGTGTTCCCAGTAGCATCTCATGTTCCTGCAGTATATTTTTGGAAGAATAACCAGATTTATGATGCCACATCTTCTCCTGTTTCCCTTGGCTTTCTGACACACTGGAACTCACCACTCTTTGCTTCTTCTTCACTCCATTATAGAGTCATGATCCTGAGTGGGTTTTCTGCAGCCTCTCACCTGCTGGACTGTTAAACCTCTGCTTAAATTCAACACTTCCATGAGCTTCTCCAAACCTGGACACCTGGAGCAAGACTAGCTGAGTGCTCATGGCAGAGGGGTTGGAAGAAGAAAATCTTCAAGGTTCCTCCCAACCTAAACCATTCTGTGCTTCATGTCCCAGGATCCACCTCCCATTCCAGAGCAGGGAGACACCTCTTTCCTCAGATTTCTTTCTCATCTTGGAGCAGGGTCTTCCTGGCAGCCCTTGCATGTGCATTCCCCTTTGGATGTTTCTCCCACGTTCCTACTGTTGCCTGGCCAAACCTTGCCCTCCTTGTGACTCTGACGGTGCCTTTCTGGTTTAAAACAGAGTAAAATTGAAGTGGTGACTGGAGAAAATGACATCAGCATTTAAATAGATTTCCTGAGGAAATTTTTAATGGTCATTTTTATAGCTTATTTTGTGCTTTTTAACTTTTTTCTCCCTGGTCAAAGGTCAAGGAATTATTTCATACAGACCAGTACAGGAAAAGAGCTAATTCTGACTAATCTCAGGGGGTTGATTGTTTTGATTCATTTTCATTCTGAGCATTGATGGCCTTCAGAGAGTTTCTTTGGATGAATCAAAATACTCTCCACCTCTGGGTTTAGGCAATACAAAAACTTAACAAGTCACTTCACATTTAAGAGTAAAACTCCCTAAATGGGAGCAGGAGCTGTAAAATCCCTAACCTCAATGGACTTCTAGGACTTTCTTAAGAGAAATTCACACAGCAAGGAGCTCTCAGTACTTCCACTCAGTGGCTACTAAATTAGATATAAGTTCCTTCCAAATCCTGGCCAAGTGCTCAATCCAGGTGCTTGGGGATGAGAGGAAAGAGTTTACAGCGCTCTGAGAGTCCTGTGTGCAATCTGGCTTCACTGTGGCAGGCTGGAAAGAAAACTTTCTCATGGTTCTGTTCCCTTTGTGTCTGTGTGTGTGCAGAAGTGAATGTCCAGTTCACCTGGGAAATGCACTTTTACACACCCCCATGCTGGTTCAGCAGCATCTGCCTGAGGTTAAGGCCATGGGGAATGCTTCTTCTGGGGTGATTTCCTTTGAGACAGAATATGCATCATTCATGACATGAAATTCTGGAGTTTTAGAAGGAAAACATAGCCCTGTGATGGAATTTTCCAAAGGTAAAGATGATTTTCTTCCACCTTGCTGAACTGCAGAGCACCAAGCTAAATGCACAGGGTATCTCAGATCTAAATACATGTGAGAATTGGGGGAGTGCAGATCAGGCTCTGACCTTTACAGTTCCAACCTTCAGCGTTTTACAACTGCTTTTATTGCTCTCACAGTTTGAACTTGTTCTGCACAGCCAAATCCCTGTGAAATTTGATAAAATCTCCAGGTAGGGCTGGACCCCGTCGTTGCTGTGGAGGATTTAGGCGCTGTTATTCCAGCGAAACATGACCTTGCATTAGGTTATCCATGGCATACTATGGACCTTGAGCTCTGCATTCATAAAACCCCACAAAGGGCACAGTTCCAAGCTCTGTGAAAAACTGGCTGTGCTTCTACAATTTTATTCAGCAAGAAATCAGTGCTGTGCGTCACTGGTCAAAAGATGACTAAGCTCTGGTTATAATGATAGAAACTGTGAGGATTTACAGCTTGATTATCCCTTTTTACTCCTTTGGAGTAATACCTTACTTCTTCACTAAGGAATTAGAGATAAGCAAATCTTTAAATGAGGTGTTTGCTCAAGAGCTTTGCCGGTGAGAAATGTATTTATGGATATATTAAGTGTTTTCTGGAATTAGGGCCAAAGCAAGAGGAGGCAGCAAGAGTCCAGGTATAAGGGATTGTTTCTTGTACATCAGCACAGGAGACCTGGCCTCAGGGGTGGCCTTTAAAATCCTCATTTCCAAACCAAACAAAAGGAGCTGGGTGAAATCCCAGCTTTACTGAAGTCAGGAGCAGGAGTCCCAGCAACTTCAGTGGCCATGGGATGTCATCAGAGAGATGTCCTTGTCCTTCACTCAGTCTCCTGCCACTTTTCCCCTTGGAGAATGTGGTGCTGAAATCCTCATTTCCAAACCAAACAAAAGGAGCTGGGTGAAATCCCAGCTTTACTGAAGTCAGGAGCAGGAGTCCCAGCAACTTCAGTGGCCATGGGATGTCATCAGAGAGATGTCCTTGTCCTTCACTCAGTCTCTGCCACTTTTCCCAGCCCTGTGGTGGCATTTCTAACCCGCCTGTGGCCAGTCCCAGCAGCCTGGTGACATCACCATGGCACCTTTTTACATCTGCCTCCCTGAAAATGTGCAAAGAGGTAAAGGCACAATTGCAGGAGAATCCATCTCTCCCTGCCTGACATTAAATTGGGCTCATTGCCCATTGAACACGAGCTTTCCTCAGGGTACTGAACACTATTCCCCTGCCCAGCTCTGCCGTGGTGCTGCAACTCCCTAGTGATAAAAAGTGGGGGGAAAAAAAATCTGCATCTTTTCCTAAGTACAAGAGGACCATTAACTAATTAATTGGCCAAATTAATCACTCAATAGCTACATACAATGGCTGGGCAAGCCATGGGCTTCATCCTGGCACAGGCTGAGAGTTAGGATGCTCTCCCATCCCGTTCCTCTCTCCAGCAATGCTGCCTGTCCAGGGCCTCTGGGCTCCCTCCAACTTGGCTCTGGTGGCCCAGAACCAGAAGAGAGACTTTTTGGGGCTGAGATTTGGTTTGTGTTTGGAATTTATGTGATCTTTAAATGTTTCCCAACGTCTTTTTCACTAATTTGTGAACTAGGAATATAAATTAATATAATAATAAACAGAGAAAATAAATAATAAACTAGTACAACAATATAAAGTAATTTAAATATAAATGCTTTTCAGAGCTGGGAATAAAAAATATTATAAAGTAACTTTATGACATAAAATGAAGTTGTCTCAGGAGTGGGATTCTTTAATTATGAAGTGCTTTGTAATAGCTGCAATTGCTCCATCATAAAACCATTCCTGAGAGGAAAGATGTTTTTAAGGGCCCAGAAGAATAACAGCTGGTCTGGGGACTTTTATGTTCAACAAGGGTCGTATTTCCTTGCTGTTGATTCTTTTAGAAGAAAAGGTTAAAATCCTGCTTTGGTGTAATACCCAAGAGCCAGCCTAGAAGTACCTGGGTGCTGGAAGGTCAAGTACAGACACAGCTATTTGAGGTAATTTTATATTTCCCTATGATAAAATGCAGTTTAAAATACTTTCATGACCTTTTTTTGCTCATTGTTATGAGTCATTGTAGCACTAAACCTGTACTTTTTTCAAAACTAATCATGGCTTACCCATTTGGCATATTTTCTCAGAACAGTTAAGTAAATTATCTCTCATTTTAGGTCTGTGTCTGAGCAAACTTAAACATTGTACAGCAGCAAAGGTATTCAGTGTCACAGTGCAATGGAAATTACTAAAAATGGCACAAATGCCATAACCTCATTCCATGCCAGGTTTTATCCCATTCATCCAGTGAAGTAATTATCAAAGATAATAAACTTTAGAAGCTCACATTGGAAAGCTTTAAATTGGGTGTTTAGAGCCAGAACTGAGTCTGTGACATCATGCCTTGTGCAGGTAGGAGAAGATGGAATGTTTAAGTGGGACTATCTCTGAGCAGAGCCAGGCTGGAGAAGATCCTGGTTCCAGAGCTGAGGATCACACAGCAGCCAAGCATTTTTCTACTCCGGGAAGGGCAGAGCTGCAGGTGAGGCAGAATTTGGGGGATTGAGTGGCCATCTGCAGGTGCTGGTGCTCACATCACTGATTTCTCCTCAGTCATCTTAATCCTTCTATTTGCGCTTCTGAAACGTCAGTTTCCTTAAATTTCCTTGGCAATTACATCCTGTGCATGTGTCTTGCCCAGAGCAGCTGTGGCTGCCCCATCCCTGGCAGTGTCCCAGGCCAGGATGGACAGGGCTTGGAACAACCTGGGATAGTGGAAGGTGTCCCTGCCCAAGACGTGGTAGGATGATGCTCTTTAAGGTCCCTTCCAACCCAAACCATTCCAGTGTTTTATGAAATAGCGAGGCCAAACCCAAAGACTATTTGTGCAGGAAGGACCTCGAAACCAAACCAGTTTAGTTCTGACTTTTCTTGGGTTTAGTGATCTGAGAAATGGATCACAGGAGTAAAAATGTTTGCCACCAAGCCAGTGGGACCTTCTTTCCACGTGCTGACAGGACCTCATATTGCACCAGGGAGGGTCAGGTTGGATATTAGGAAAAATTTCTTCACAGAAAGGGTTCTTAAAGCATTGGATTGGAAAGAACTGCCCAGGGCAGAGGTGGAATCACAGTCCCATGGAATACGCTGAGTTGGACGGAACTCATCAAGATCATCAAGTTCAGATATCCCAACAATCCAACCCTGTTCCTGAGAGCATTGTCCAAGTGCTCCTGGAGCTCAGTCCCATCCCTGGAGGGGATGTACACGTGGCACTTGGGGACACTGATTAGTGCTGGATTTGGCAGCGCCGATGTCTCTCGGTGACCTTAGTGGCCTTTTCCAACCCAAACAACTCCCAGATTTTACGCTTCTTTGACTCCACGCTCCCACTTTCCTCTGCCCTGCACCGGCAGCGTGCGGCAGGGAAGGCGGACGAGGCGGTGTCCCCTCCATGTCACCGCGGGGCAGAGCGCGGCCGCAGCGCCGGCGTGCGGGCCCCCCGCGGCTGCTGCGGGCGCTGCGCTCGGCGGGGGCGGGCGCGGGGCGGGGCGGGGCGGCCCCTTCAGCACCAGCGCGGCCGCGGACAGCGGCGGCCCCGGCTGAGGCGGCGCGGGCAGCGTCCCGTGCACCCGCACCGAGCGAGTCCTGCGTCCCCACGGTGAGTGTCCGCCGCACGGTGAGTGAGCGTCCCCGCAGCCGCTCGCTGCGTGAGAGTCCCCGCAGCCGCGCGGTGACCGAGTGTCCCTCACAGCCGCACGGAGCGCGTCCCCCGCAGCCGCTCGGTAACTGAGCGTCCCCGCAGCCGCTCGGTGAGTGCGTGTCCCCCAGGGCCGCTCGGCGGGCGGGTGTCCCCGCATGGCGAGTGCGTGTCCCCAGAGCGCCCAGCCCGCAGGGCCGGCGCGGCGCGGGTGCCCGCGGGCTGGGGCCGGGCGGGGCCGTTGCGGGAGCGGTTGGGCTCGGTTAAAAAACTTGGAGAAACCCGGAGCGCTCGGCTCGGCTCGGGCCTCTTCCTTCTCTCTCCGTAAGGCGTATTCCTTCGAAACTTTAGGGGTGAACTTGTGGAAAGGGCGGCTTGGCGGCTTGGCGGTGCCCGAGGGGGCTGTGTGTGTGTGGGGCTGCACGTGGGCTCCGTCCCACCACGGGCGTTCCTTCCATGAATCCCAAAAGCTGCCAGGCTCTGGGCGAGCCCTGCCTCGCACGGTCATAGTAGCAGTAGTAGGAGCGTGGCGTTCCTCACTCGCTGCTGGAAGCTCTGTCATCCCGCTTAGATGGTGACAGCCCTGGTAGCTGAGGCCTTTTCTGTGTGTTCTGCAAGGACCGTCCGGTTTTGGGGGAGGTCACAGCCTGGAGGTGACGGTGACAGTGAAGTGACAGTGACAGCAAGCTGAGATTCTGTGCCCTGAACTATTCGGAAGTGCCTGCGTGCAAAGCAAAACTGCTTTCCAGCAACTCGGGGCTGGAATTCTGTGTCTTCCCAGCCAGGAATCGCTCTCGTGTGCTCCCACAGGCATCTCTGATACATCTTTATGCCGCTGCAAATCCGTAATAGCGTTAATTGTTCCCTCGGAGAGAGGAGGCTGGGCTCTGCAGGCTCACACGTTGTGCTCCGTGTGCTGCCTTGAGAGTAACAGCCTGTTCGTGGCTCCCATGAACAGCAGCCAGGTGGGGATGAATGGGGATGTGCCGAATCCTCCGCTAAAGGCCGAGGGATGAATAATAAGTGACAGTGACTCCAGAGCAGGGACTCTCCCGTGCTTCGTGCTCCTGACTTCTCCTTAAGCTCTAGAGGCAGATGTGATGTGTCTGTCCCATTCAGAAATGTTAAAAACAATCCCTGTGCCCTTTCATCCTCCATGTGCTGTGCCTGCAGCATCCAGGAATCGACAATACAGGCGTGATGTGTGGAGGGGGAATAGCTGTGTGCATTATACCTTCTATTCCTTGTGTCTTATCCCTCTGGCATTCCCACAGCTTAGTTCAAAGGGAGCGCCAATAATTCCTTTAATTTGCAGTGCTGCAGACCTTTGACCTCGGGGCAGTGCTGCCTGCACACCCTCTCTGCCCAGTTGTGCATCCCAGGCATAACTTTACAGTAAATTTAGTTTTGTTGCCTCATTAGGCACCAGACACACAGAACTGTGTAAGGGTTGTGTGCTCTGGAATGATTCAGCTGCCACACAGACACACGGTGACCCTTGTGAACAAAAGCCTGACCCTAAATTCCTGCCCTGCAAGATCAGGGCTTGAGCTCCTGCTCAAGCTCAGGAGTAACTGCTGACACAATAGAGTCCCATAATTTATGAATCGACCATAAATCAGGGAGACAGAAGTAGACCAAGTTTCTTGAAAGATCACATTGAGACTGAGTTATTTTGGAGAGTCAATTAAGCAGCATTTAGGCTGGCAGTGGAAATTAATTCATTAATTAACAGTGCTTGAAGGAATTAAATTCTACCCATGTTTCAAAACGCTCCTAATCCAGAGTGGTTTGGTGGTTCTGGGCTCTGATGATCAGGCTGCAGGAGGGGTTTGGGCTGTGCCACCCATGCTTGGCCACAGCAGGGGGGGAGCCTTGCTACCTTTTGCTGTGTTTTGCCTCTCTCATGCTTGTTGTGAAGCCCTTGGTGGGTCCTCCTTGTTTGCTGACAGTGTTTGTTGAGTTCTCAGTACCTTGATGGTCTCTGCATGTGGGATAGACTTTTTTATGGATTTAACACACAGTTATGTCTTCCATGTCATATATCTCTTATGTGTCTTATGTTTAACCCAGTGGTTTTAATGGATGAAAGGCAATGAACAATCAGAGGATTTGGAGGCAAATTCCAGTCCAGATTTCACCATGGGTAACATGGAGTGAGGGATGGTCCATGGAGAGTGGGAGAGTTTACATTGCAGAACTCAGATGCTCAGCCATGAACACACCAGGCCAACTCTTCTCCCCTTTACACCAGAGCAATTCCTGCTGAATTGAATTGTTACTCAGTCAATTCCTTTCTCAGGAACTGTAGTGGTGGGATGGGAAGTAATAATTTTGAACTGAAGATGGCAGATTTTACTTCAGTATATGGAAGGAATTGTTCCCTTTGAGGGTGGGGAGGCCCTGGCACAGGTTCCCAGAGAAGCTGTGGCTGCCCCTAGATCCCTGGAAGTGTCCAAGGCCAGGTTGGACAGAGCTTGGTGCTCCCTGGGATAGTGGAAGGTGCCCCTGTCCATGGCAGGGGGTGGCACTGGGTGAGATTAAAGGTCCCTTCCAAGCTAAACCATTCCATGATTCCATGAATTTATGCCATTTGGATTCAAAATTTAAAAAAAAATAGAAATATTTTGTGAATTGCAGTCTTGCTTTTTGCCTTTGCCACCATGATCTTCATGCGAAAATAATTATTCAAAGCATCAGCAGAGAATCTGAGATGCCCAGGAAGCAGCAGAGTGCCATTGCCTATGGCCATGCTGAGTTAGTGTGGTACAGCACAGGAGAATCCAGCTGCAAAACTTGAGCATAATATTGAGCATGGTTCCTTCATGTTGCACAACTGCTCACAGGTAAACCATCATTTCAGTTCTTTTCCAGAAAAAATTATTTTAGAAGCTCTAAAAACTTACTTTCAGCGTGTACCACCAAAAGCAGAGTTTTCCTTCACAAAATGCCACAAATGGGTACAGCAGATGTTGATTTATGTCCACATCAGCTGATTTTCTTCTCCATTACCCTTTCTGCTGGATCTTTGCTTATCCAGCAGGTCCTGTTGCCCTGACATCCGATGTCAGCTTGGATGTTTTTGCACATTTGGTGAAAGCTTGACTCAGTCTTTCTCCCCAACTTGGTGTTGTCAGGTGCGTGATGGTCATTATGAATTATTGATAGTGATGGAAAAGTCACGAATGCACAGCTGTGCTGCAGGGCCTGGGCCTTTTTCTTGGGTTTAATCATCACTTTATCTCCTCTCTGCCTTTTAGTAATAATGTCAACAGAGATTTCGTGCTGCCTTCACCACAAAAGAGAAGCAGTTCTCTGCTCTGCTGCTGCAGCCAGAATCCTTTTTCCTGTCGTAGTTTGCCCAGAGTTCTTCAGATTTTTCAACTGCAAACTCTAGAAAACATTTCACTTATCAAAAAACTATTTTCTACAGAAATCTTGGCTGGTACTGATGCAAAATTAAACATAAACTCCTGTGCAGCAAATACGTTGAAGATAATGAATAATTCATTTATTTTCCCCCACTTTTTCATTGTAACTCATAAAATTGGAAAAATTGCATTAAAATGAAATCCCACTGCGGTGTTTTATATTCAGAGAGTAACTTTCTAATAGAAGTATGGAAATTAATTCATAAAAATATGAATTCTATATGAACATTGTAAACACAAATAGCAACATAATTAAATAATAGAAGACACAGTAATCTTTGAGTAGCCTGTGAGACACAGTCCTGTCGAGGTGCCAGCTCAGCCTGCTCCAGGATGCAGAAGTTTTCCCAACTGAATTTAAACCCCCCCCCTTGCTGTAGCAACAGGGAAGAGCCTTTATTTGGAGGGGTCCTAAACTGCTTCACAAATCAACCTGGAGCCTGGGCCTGGAGCTCACAGCTTCTGCCATGAAATGAGAATACTCCTGGAGTGGAACAGAATAATTGCTGCACAGAAACACTTCTGTAACCTGTGCAGAGCAGGGGTGAGGCAGAGAGGCCTTCAGGGTGCATTTCTTTTCTCCTTGGGGCTCCTCCCAAGGAAAACTCCAGATGCACTCTGTGTGAACCATCAAACCCACCCTCCACACCCCAATGGCTCTGTACTGGTTTGGAGGGGAACCCCCACACTGAAGGAACTAAATGCAGGTTCCAGCAAGCGGTTTTGGGGTGTGATCAGTCAAAAAAGAGAAATCCATTCCGTGGATGTGGTTGTGTTGGAATCCTCTCAAAACAGACAGAAATGTGATCTTGGAGGATCCTCTCACGGATTAGTGACAATGGGGATATTTGATAGTTGTCCTTTGGTGTAGATGAGGGGAAGATGGTTCTGGAGAGTTCCTGAGGAGAGCCTTGACTTTGTAATGCCCTTTTTACCCTGAAAGCAGCCCAGCTTTAGGGCTGCAGTGGCACACGGCATCACTCATCCCTCTTCCTCTGGCATTTGAAGAGGACAGATGATTATGAAGATGGTTAATAGATGGAAAAGGATTGTTTCAGTTTTTACCTTGCCTGCTTTTGCTGCAGTTTAGTCATAATAATGAGAGTTCTTGATAAGTGAGCTTTGGATTGAGTCACTGGGATCTCGAGTGAGTAAATAGATTTTGGGATTAGTCTGAGGAGCTGAGCAGAGCAGTCAGGGAAGCTGCAGCGCACAGGGGGAGGAAGGAATCTCTGGGACCCTTGGCTCTTTTTCCTGCCAGTTCAGGGGGCATCACCTGCAAATGCCCTGGGAGAGCTCATGAGGTGCTGAGCAACCTCCACATCCACCAAAGATTTGAGGTCCAGCTGGAAGGTTTGAGGGTCGATATTCCTCAGGATGAGGAGTGAGGACACCCAAAGGAGTGACCAGCTGGGAAATTGTGGCACAGAGGGAAATCAGGGCCCAGAGCCCCACGTCATCTCCCAGACCCTGCTGCATGTCAGGATAGTCCTGTGCTCCTTAGGCACAGAGACACCAGGGGGAAAGGCTTGGGAATAGCTTTGTTGGTGCATGTTGCCATAATTCACATCCCCAGTTCAGGAACAGGGAAATGGTCTCTTTAAATTGTTGACATCATCATTTTTATTTTTGTTTTTCCTTCAGCTGAAAAAAACCCTGGGAACCCTGAGCGTAGAGTAAGGAAATGATGCTTTTTCCTGTGGTGACTGAGCCAATAAAGGCAGCTGTTGGGAATAATGTCCCAGTAGGCAAAGCAGCTCATCAATCTCAGCTGCTGCTTCTATGAACATATTATATAATAATGCTTCTTCTACAAAAAAAAAAATGCTATAAAGGTCTCTCTCTTCTTCCCCTAAATATCACCAGGGGAAGCCATAAATTGTGCTCCAGTGTTAATCTGTTCTATCAGGGTGATATATCCATTAATGGATATGATATATCCATTAAACCTTCCATCCTTGCACAGAAAGAAATAACAATATTTCAGCGTTAAAAAGAAGTTTGTATTTTTTTTTGCATAGTGACTGATTTGTCTGACTTTTCCAGACTCCACATGCTGAGATCCTTTTATCTAAGCAGCCCAGAACTCTTTCCTTTGCCATCAAGGCCTAACTGGCTGCTCACTGCCAGGCTCAGAGCAGAGCTCAGCCCTTGCCAGACTTAACCCTTTAACAGCTGCCAACGTGAGCCTCAGTGCACGGATTTGGGAGCAGGTCAGGAACATGCATTCAGCTAATTAGTGGCCCATCAGGAGTTGGAAAGCAAATGAAAGCTGCAGACAGGCCCTGGCACAACAGACAGGTCCTCACAGGGTGAGCAAAGCAAGTGCTGTGCTTCTGGCAGCACTAAAATGGCATTTTCAGGGATAAAAATCTGCCTGCTGTAGCAGCGAGGAAAAATCCATTATATTTGTAATAAAGCAATAACACAGTCCATACCTCCTTGGGCTATAATTTCAGCCTTTCCTGCAGATTATGCAGATATTTACACTTAAAATGTACCTTAAATATTATCTTTACTAAGAGCCATATATAATTTGAGCATAAAAGCTGAGATTGTGGAGCACAGCTCAAGAAGGAATAAATTTCTGTGAATATCGAACCACACAGTGGACAGGCCCTGCTTGGGATAGTCAGGGAGCTTGAGTGGGTGTTGTGAGCTTTGGGGTGCTGGGATGGGAGGTCTTGCAAGGAAAGCCTGACAATACTGACTGTCAGAAATGAGAAACAGATATAAGGGAGTGCCTTTATGATAGCAGGTGAATAATTACAGACATATTTCATTCCAGCACGTGGAATGAACGTGGAAATTCCAGCAGCAGGATCCTGGGCTTACTCTAAATGAACCAACAGCCTCATATGCCAGGAAACAAAACCTTCCTGTCAGCTGCACACTCTGATAGAAAGAATCTAAAGCCACTACACGATTCATAATACTTCATTTTGCTGAATTATTATTCATTCTAAATTTTATATGAGTCTACTACATCCCTGCTAATTTGCATGTCTATTAATAATTCTAAATTCCCACTCAAAACCCCATAGGGAAAATGGCAGGTTTGTTAATATCCTTACAGATTAAGCATGACCTGAAACCCAGAGTCTTTATAAACCCTTTGGTGCTTTTTCCACTATTTTCCCCTACCATTCCCAACTCCAAAGTCTGTTGTTACACCTGCAGGACTGCCAGGCTGTAATGCATCATTTATTATGTCCAGCAGGTGACCGGTGGTTACCATTGATCTCCAAATGAATGTGATTGTTTGTTGGGTTTTATTTCCTGCAGCTTTCCCGGGGAGCTTTGTGTTTCTGTCAGCGACAAGATGACAATTCATATTTCTACCAAATGATCCAGTGACTCATCCTATTAACTCTGCCGGAATACACGCTCCCAGTCGTCCTGCCACGGTGAGTCCGTGGGATTTTGCATTCTTGCTGGGAATATTATTCAGGATTCAGTCCATAAATATGTGTTTGGTAGTACAAATAAGCATTTCCTAAAGCAGGAACTTCCCAGGAATGACCACAGCCCCAAGCAGACCAAATATTGCATCTGGTAGCTATTTTTTAAAAGCTATTGTAGTATTTTATAGCAGTTGAGATACTACTGATCCCATGTTTTTTAAAGGGCTTGGTTGGTTTGGACTGGAGGCCCTGTGAGAAGGAGTCTCATGTGTTGTGGGAACTGATACCAAGTTATTATAAACAGGCCCTTGAAAATGTTGCCCTGTGAGGGGTTCCCCATCTGGCTAAGAATGAATCTGCCATGAGTCATGATGGAAAAATGGGACATCCAAAAAACCCCAAATATCCAGCATGACAGAATATGGATCATGATTTCATACTGGGTGCCCAAGTTAAACTCTTCAGTTTGTGCCTCCTGAGAACTCCCAGCTCATTGAGCCAATATCCTGTAATATTCCAGGAGAAACAGAATCCCAGGATGGTTTGGGTTGGAAGGGACCCATCTTGTTCCATGGGCAGGGAAACATCCTAGTCTGGGATGCTCCAAACCCTGTCCAGCCTGGCCCTGGACACTTCCAGGGATCCAGGGGCAGCCACAGCTTCTCTGGGCATCCTGTGCCAGAGCCTCCCCACCCTTAAAGGAAAGAATTTCTTCCCAGTATCCCATCTACCCCTGCCCTCTTTCCCCTAAAGCCATTATCCATGTTCCTTTAGTTGGGTGGAAAAAGTAGGACACGTTTTTGTGGGTTAAGTCTCGTCCTGTGTTTACTTTTTGTGCTCTTGAAGGTGCCATTCTCTGCCCCAAGCCCACAGCTTTGCATTTTGCCCACCTTATCTGCCAGGGAAGAGCTGAGCTATCATTTGTTATCCCAGGGAAACTGGATGGGAACTGGACTGAAAACTGATGGCAATTCATGCGTTATCTCTTGATAACAGGATAAATAAACACTGCCTTCACTGCCTGCATTAGCATTAATAGAAGGAAAAACTCATGGAAAGCACTGTCAAACCAGTTTAAATATGTCTCCATTTAGGTTTCCCAGATGCTTTACTGCTTCTCCTTGTCTCATCTGGGTTTGAATTACGACTGGAAGTTCCTCCGTATTTGACATTCCTGCCTTTGGAGCTTATGCCAGCTGCAGTTCTGAAGTAAGTGAACAAAATATTTCCAAATGTCCAGCTTAATAAAGAAATGGATCTTTGAATTAAAACAAAGCTTTAGCAGGAGATCGTGGACATTTACAGTGATGTATGTAATGTGTAAGCAGGAAAACCAATGTAGAAGTAAGAGGAATGGCAGAATTTCTGGGGGTGTTTCTGGAGTGATCCCCCAAAACAAGGCCACCACAGCATCTCCCAAGACATTTTGCTACATCTCTTTTTTAGCCTCTTCTCCCAGGAAACAAGGGACAGGATGAGAGGAAGCAGCCTCAAAGGTGAGGGGAGGTAGGACAGCAGCAGGAATTCCTTCATGGAAAGGGTGGCCAGGCCTTGGAAGGGGCTGCCCAGGGAGGTTTGGAGTCCCCATCCCTGGAGGTGTCCAAGGAAGGACTGGAGGTGGCACTCAGAGCTCTGGGCTGGTGACAAGGTGGGGATCAGGCACTGGTTGGAGTTGATGGTCTTGGAGGGCTTTTCCAACCTCCCTCATTCTGGAGTTCCATGGTCTGTGAGAGGTCCCTGCACAACCGATTTCAAGTGCAAAGTAAAAAGAATTGGAGCATTTAAATATTCCCAGCCTTTATTGTAAACAGAAAAACATGGGAGCAGATAGAAGCAAAGGGAAGAGGATGGAGCTGCCACAGCTGCACAAAACCTATTTCAGCTGTATCCTGCCTGAAAATGCCAGCACATGGCAAAGCCTTTGAAAACACACTGAATCAACATTATGGAATATATAAAAAGAGAATCTAAACAGTTTATCAGTAAAATATGAGCTAAATTTGATGAGGCTGTTCTCTAGACTGCAAGTATCTGTTTCTGTGAAAGTTGTGGGGAACATGAAAGCTGCCATTAGCGTGGCAGATTTGCTTCATTCAGATGTAAAGCCAGATCTGCTTGGATTTTTTTGATGAAGCTCATGCACAGTGGAGTGCTAAGAGGTGGTTAATGAAACATTTTAGCATCATTGTCAGCCCAAACTCAAGAGTTGCTTGCTCCAAAAAGAAAATTAGAGCCTCTAATTTCAATAGGAAAATAAATGATAAAATTTAACAATATTATGTTGAAGTATCCAAACATTTTTCCACATTGTGACTGCCTTATCAGGTGAAGGTGACCACTCAAGGACAAGTTGGAAGTTGAATAAGGGAAATATTTTTCTAACCTTATAATAAGAATGATATATCATAAGACTTGACTGGGTCTGATCCGTCTTATTCTGTGCTTCTCTAGCCAGTGTATGTAAAAGAAAACACCCTGAAAACTGCTTTTTCTCATCCTTTTTTCTGGCAGAGATCTTAAATCAGATGAGATTCAGGGTCTGTTGCAGTTTATGGTAACATTTTAAAATCCATAAATAACAAAACTTCGCGAAAAATCACTAGGAGAGAATCTCAGTAAATTAAAATATTGATGAGGTGTGGAAAAAACACCCTCTTTTGAATTTCACTGCCATGGTGGTGATGTTTGTGCAGCTTCCATTTGCCTACATGCAGAGTTTAGGACAAGAAAACCCTGAGTGTGGGACGCCTGAGATGCTTTGAGGTGTTTGTGTGGAAGGAGTTTCACAAAGGGAATTCTTTGGCAGGGTGCAGCAGGGAAGGCTTAGGGACAGCTGGGGTTGGGGGTGCCAGTGAGGATCTGCATGCAGGGATCACAGAATCCCAGCATGGCTTGGTTGGAAGGGACCTTAAAGATCATCTGCCTCCAGTTCCACTTCCACTGTCCCAGGCTGCCCCAAGCCCTGTCCAGCCTGGCCTTGGGCACTGCCAGGGATCCAGGGGCAGCCACAGCTCCTCTGGAATCTGTGCCAGGGCCTCCCCACCCTCTCAGGGAGGAATTTCTCTCTAATTTAATCTAAACCTCCCTTCTTTTGCTTTAAAACCATTCCCCTGTCCTGTCACTCTCTTCCCATGTAAATTGAGCATCCTCCATTGCAAACAGCAGCAGTTTCCAAGGAATAAAGTGATTTTCCAGCCCCTTTTCTAATTAACCAGCTCAGTACTCACTTGTGCTTGGCTTCATCCAGGTGCTGTGGTCACGTGCAGGGAGTTTCCTTCCCTTCATCCCAGGATCTCTTGTTTTACACAACACTTGGACTAATTACAGCCTCAGTGTTGCTGCTGATGTATTGTAACTGAGGTTAATTACATTAATAATAACTCCTGGCATTAACCTGAGCACCTCAGTAAGTAAATTTGCTCCTGCTTTGAGAATCAGGTTCCTAATGACTACAAAAGTGCCTGGAAATTGTTCTTTTTGCCAGACAAGATTGAAGAAAATAACAAAATAAAATCCTTCTAGGAGAGTGCAGGGTTAAAGTATTGGATTGCAAACTGGTAGCAAATTAGTACATAATAAAAAATACTACTACTACTACTAATATTTATTTAGGCTTAACTGCAAATAAATTCTTTTTAAAAATAATTTTGAAAACTGAATCCCTGGGTTTTTTTCCTAGTGCATTTTTCTCACTTGTCAGAGTTGAAGGTGTTATTTCAGCACAGAATTCTTTAATATTTATCATAAAACATTAATGGTGAGACTGAGCTCCCAAAGCCTCCTCAGATTCTCCAGGAATCACTTCAGAGAAATGACATTTTGAGGGGTGCCTCTTCAACACAAAAGAGAGATTTACTGACATTACCTTCTCCTTTCAGTTTCAAACCTCAGTATATTGCAATAACATCTGAAATACCTAAAAACATGTAGCAATAAAGGAAGGATTTCTAAGCTTATTTGGAGATACGTCCATCTTCTGACTTTCCAAGTGTTTGAAGAGGGTCCCTCTGCTAAAAGGGGGTTGAATTTCAACACTCCCTTCTCTGCTCCCTTTTTTTTTTTGCATCACAGCATCAGCCTCAGAAAGGTCAAGGTTCTGCAATATCAAACAAATGCCATAATAAAAACTACTGCTTAGACAACAATTCTGACAATTTTAAGTTTGCTAGGGGACCATTTGGGCTGGTCCACCATAATCTGGCATATGAAAAGCCAGACTTGATGACCTTGGAAGTCTTTTCCAGCCTTAATTCTGTGATTGTATGAATGACTCAGGTGACAACATGGCAGCATAAAACATTTGAACAAAACCCTCTCCTTCCAACCTGCCTCCACCCAAGGTTGTCCCACTTCCAGAATTAGCAGTTAGCTCTCTGTAAAAGCTGGTTTTTAGGATAGACTTGTACTGAGTTGTCATAAAGGCTCTGAAGGATGCATAGCTATAGTTTTAAATGAATAAGCATGGAATTCTAATGAATATTCAATGGTGAAATCATTAGCATGTAAAACTGGCAGTGCTGTGGAGGGCAGTTTCTCTCCTTTTCAGTTCAAATGTTGTGTCCTCTAAACACCTGCAGGAAAAATGTGGATATCTCTGAATACACCTGAAAACATACCTGTTGTGGGTGTGGAATTATACACCATGTGCACAATGCCAGGAGCCACGTGGTTGTGCCAGACCTATGGGACTGATTCCAGGACCTTCACACTGTCAATTCAATTCCCAACTTCAGTCCCGCTTTAGCCAACTTTTAAAACATTCCTTCAGCTTCAAACATCTGGTTAGTCCCATTCTTTGTCATGAGGCCAGGAAGGTGCTTGGAATTACATATGCTCCTGATCAGCATAATGGGAGCTGAAATTCCAGCAGAAGTATTTGAAATAGAGCTCTGCCATATTCCCAAGCCATTTGGCAGCTCACAAGTTACTTGAAATCACTAAAATATTCCAGAATGTGGAATCTGAAGGCGAGGGAAGGGGAATGTATGACAACGTACATATGGAGTCCCACTGGTTAGAGAAACAACAGTGGGGACTTTTCAGTAGTGTTGTTACTTAGTATGATTTTACTTTATTTTTATTCCTGAGCTTTGGCTGAAAGAATATGTTTGAGCCATCTGGCTGCAGAAACGCTCGGGGGTGTTTCGGAAGCAGGTTCTGGGTGCTGGCAGGCTCCCAAAGGCACTCCTTCCACCCGGCTGGTGCCTCACTGAGCCCCTTCAGATGCCACCTGGCCACCACCTGAGTGTCTCATCTCCTTGCTAAATGTGATGCTATGAATTCAAGATACCATTTTAAACTGAGAAATTCCCAAAGTTGAGCTTTATCCCATGTATTCTGTGGGTGCTTCTTTCTTGAGGTCCTTTTTCCACAAGACTGGAAGGGGTTTTCTCACCATATCTACAAACCACGATTTGCAGCATTGTTACATTAATGTAAAACATGGCTTATGGCTTAGAAGGGGAATATTTTCCACAGAAACATCATGGAAACAACTTGACAATTATCAGATATCCATCCAGTCCTTAAGCCACTAGTGATATTAAATGATGCGTGTGTTTAGATGATCCACAGAGACCAAAGTTCATCCAAGGCATTTGGCTGGATAAACAGGGAGCAGGTCGCAACATTCCCGGTTTTCACAAAAAAAAGTTCCTGGTCTTTTAGTACTTTTAAGTAGTCAAGCCACTGAAGATCAAGGGAGACCTCTAGGTAGGACAGAAAGAACAAATTTGATCATTTTGCTCGTTTTATCTCTTCACGGCAAAATTTATTTGGAGTTCCATTAGAACCACCAAGTACTTCATGTTATTAACCTTTGAGTAGTTTTAAATTGGGTCTATATGGTTTGCTGCATTTACTTTGAGTCATGGGTTATACAATAACGTGATGGCTTCTCAGCAGGATTAAAACCTGAGTACATTAAAATTCAATTAAAAGCCTGTGATAAGTGCAGTGGTTGACTCAGACCGTTAACTGGGGTTGTGTCTCTAAAATGAACAGCTCTGTCACTACACTGAGGGAGGAAGTTTGGTACAACCAAGTGAAATGTCCTCTCTGGTATTCCAGAAAGTTCTAACATTTGCCTCTAATTCCTCTTTCTCCCTGTTTAGCCAACCAATATCACAATGACTGAGGACTTGGACCACAGATTCAGTTATCTCACCTGGGATCAGATTAAAATCCTGGATCAGGTTTTGACTGAGGCTATACCTATTCATGGGAGAGGAAATTTTCCAACCCTGGAGGTAAAGCCGAAGGATATAATCCACATGGTAAAGGAGCAGCTCATTGAGAAGCAGATCCATGTCAGGGACATCCGCCTGAACGGTTCCACTGCCAGTCACATCCTGGTGAAGCACAACGGCACCAGTTACAAGGACCTGGACATCATTTTTGGAGTGGAACTTCCCAGTGAGCTCGAGTTCCAGATCGTTAAGGAAGCAGTTCTCAATTGCCTATTAGACTTCTTGCCAAAATGTGTTAACAAGCAAAAAATCACGGCTCAGACCATGAAAGATGCCTACGTGCAGAAGATGGTCAAAGTCTCCACCGACCACGACCGCTGGAGCCTCATCTCTCTGTCCAACAACAGTGGCAAGAACGTGGAGCTGAAGTTCGTCAGCTCGCTGCGGCGGCAGTTCGAGTTCAGCGTGGACTCCTTCCAGATCATCCTGGACTCCATCCTGGGCGTCTACAGAGCCTCAGACCGGCCCCTGACACAGGACTGCCACCCCGCCGTCATCGCCGAGAGCATGTACGGGGACTTCAGCCAAGCCATGGACCACCTGAAATACAAACTGATCTCCACCCGGAACCCGGAGGAGATCAGGGGAGGCGGCCTCCTGAAGTACAGCAACCTCCTGGTCCGTGACTTTAAGCCGGCGGATGAGGCTGAAATTAAATCTCTGGAACGTTACATGTGCTCCAGGTTCTTCATTGATTTTCCCGACGTTGCCGAGCAGCAGAGGAAAATCGAGTCCTACCTGCGCAACCACTTCATCGGGGAGGAGAAGAGCAAGTACGACTACTTGATGACCCTGCGTGGGGTGGTGAACAAGAGCACAGTCTGCCTCATGGGGCACGAGCGAAGGCAAACCCTCAATATGATCACAATCCTGGCTTTGAAAGTGCTCGGAGAACAGAACATCATCCCGAACGCGGCCAACGTCACGTGCTACTATCAGCCTGCTCCCTATATCAGTGACAGAAACTTCAGCAACTACTACATTGCCCATGGACAACCCCCTGTGTTCTACCAGCCGTACCCCTTCCACATACAGCTACAGAGCGGGATGGTGTAGGAACGCTCCAACCTCCAAGCACTCACCACTCCTCTCTTTCCAGTTCTCTCCTTAATAAAGGCCTCATTAAAGCGAGTTTTATCAGCACTTTTGAGTTAAGGACATATTTTTGTGCAAGTTGCCAAAGTTGTTTGGTTGGTCAATGTCTAACTCACCATTAAGCAGGTGAAATAAGTGAAGCGTCTGTCGTTCGTGAAGTGTTTATACCTTGACGTGTGTTTGGGCTGTATTTTTTTGCAATGAAAAGAGAAGGATATAAATTATTCTAATTTTATAAAAATGAAATGCACTAAGTTCTGGGTTCTAAAAAAGAAAAAAAATTATTATGAAAAATGTAAATGGTGTTAATGAAAACCGAAGCCAATGAAATACCTCTCTGTAGAAATGCCTGATGTTAGAAGGGACAGTGCTCTGGGTACGTCAAAGTCAATCATCCCTTGGTTTTATCCATGCAGTTCCAGCAACATTTATTTGCAGCACCTTTGAAAACACACATTGCTGGGTCATCTCTTGGTGGCTGATCATTCCTCAGGTCAGTCAGAGACTCGGGGTCACTTCCCTCCCCAGAGTACTGGTTTGTACTGGTGAGCAGGAAATGCCCCTACCCAGAGCAGACTCAGCATTTTGTGTATCTGAAATTTCCACTGATCCCAGGGAAAGATTTTGCTGCTCAAATCAGGCAGCGTCAGAGCCCAGGATGTGCCTCACAGACAACAAAAGCTGTAAGAGGTACAGCTATTCTGATGAAATTGGTTTTGAAAACCAAGGCAAGAGAATGAGAAAGGAGGTGAAAATTGAGCAGAATGGGCTCACTTTCTGTCACTAATTTGTTATTGATCACAGCTGCTTTAATGCACAACAAACAGTCAGGAAAAACCTCCAAAAGCCCAGGACTGGCGCTATTTTTAGGTGAATTAAAATAAATCCTTGGCAGTGGCATTTGAAAAACTATTTTATACTGGTAAAGTCCTGTCTGTGTTTAGATACCTGCACACATCCACCAGTAGCAAACGAGGATTTACCATCAGGAAGCAAAACATGAGTTACACATCTGTGTGTGTGTGAGTGTTTACCAAAGATAAGTTTTAAACATGTCACATAAGTGCCTCCCTGTGCCAGTTGCTCCATGAAATGCTGGAAATGGTGCCAGAGAGCTCCTAAATTATGGAAAGGGAAACATGGAAAGGGAAACACGCCGTGGGGTTGCAGAGTGTTTATAGCTACAATGGGCAGAGGGTTTGCTCCAGGATGAGCAGGTTGGGACAGATGGATCTAAGGTGGGGTCACCAAAACCAAACATGGGAAAAGGAACAAGAAGGACTAGCAGGAAAAGGAGGTTTGGAAGGGGTGTGGGTAAAAAAAATGGGAACAGCCAACTGGAAATGCAAGCTGTAGAGTTTCTTACATTTGTGTGTCTCTGTGTTGTCCCTGTCACTGTCCATCCTCATCTCCTCCTGCTCCAGAGCAGTGGCTGCATTGCATCCATTTACAACAGGTGTCAGGCCTTGGGAATTTCTTCTACTTGGGCACAAGAGTTTGATTTATTTTACAGAGAAATGTGGTCCATAAGTGTGCTGTTTTGAGTCAAACATTTCTAAATTTTCTAAGGTCTGTGAGGTCTGATTGCCAGTGAAATGTAGCTTCCCTTTTCCCTATTATATTGCTGTACATTTGAACAAAGAATTGTTCAAAGACCATCATCACTAAAGTCAACTTTTTTCTGTAAAATACAGTGCAAAAAATTGGTATTTCTACAACATAAGAAGGGTTTGCTGATGAATCTGAATTATTTTGTGATGTCTTTCATGAATAGAGTACTGTTACTTTTGCTGATTTTTCAGGTATGTCCAATTTGGTGTCTGAAAGCACACTTTATTCCACTTCCACTAAGATCTTTCCATTGGTTAAACTATAATTAATAAGACCATCAATTGTAATTGCTCTGTGATCAGCTATGGTAACACCATGTTTGCATGAAAGCACTTTGAGGGAATTCCCCCTGTCAGCAGCAAAATGGAGTGAGGCATGGTGGATTCCTTTCATTTCTGTTTTAATTGAACTGTCGGGATGACAAAGAGAACTTTTCCATTTAGTTTGGTGTTTGCCATGTTCAATAGCACTGTGAAATTCTGTAAGAGCCTTACGTGGGTCATGTCCCTGCTACTGCTTGGGATCTGCAGAGATGAGGAGCTGAGAGCTGGACTGGGGAATCTGTGGGAATCAGGCATCCAAATGCCTTAAATTTCAGGAGGAAGGGGGCTCCTAATCTCTTTAGATTTTTTGGAAAGTCTCAGTGCGTCTGCACTGACCTGTGACCTTAATGTAGTGTTGCCACATTGATTTATTACTCCTCCACTCCTGGTTTCCGTGGTTGTTGGGTGGAAAAATGGGTTGATCTTCCCAAGAACCAGGGAACAGTTCAGGCAGGAAGGAGCATTTTCAGCGTGTCTTGCATGGCCAGTGATCCAAAACCCAGAAAAATTCTTCACTAAGGTGTTCTTTAACCAACAAGTAGAAACATGCATTGGGTAAAGCAAATACTTTTAAAATCAGATATTGTGGCAGTATCAGGAGTGGTGAACTCGCTGTGGGTTTGTATAAACCAGCCTGTGCACTTGTACAGAACTTTATTTAAGTATGTATTGAATTCTGTCACCTCTCTGTTGATCCAGGTTAGGTAGGAAGGGCTCAGCAAAGTCCATGGTGCTGGTGGGAAGAACCCACCTGGCTGCAGTGGGCTTTGTACCCAGGAAAGAGCAAAGACTTAGGGGAGCACCTACAGGCAAAGGTACAAAGACATCAATATGCAAAAATCTCTCAGGTATAAATAAACCCTTTAAATTTATGGAAAAAGGTCTTATATTTCTTACCTAGAGGTAGTTCAGTTCTGAAGGTTGAGGTTGTGATTTTGTATATGTAAGCATATATATATATGTAATTTATTTAGCCTTACATATATAAAATCTCATGTATCTACACCTACGGGGGCAATTAACAAAACCTGATGGTTTTAATTATTTCCTTCCAGATGTTCTATTGATACCTGGCAGCAGTAATTGACCTGGAGGGGCTGTTTTTGTTCAAGGTCATAATGACTCTGTAAAGTAATATGAAAAAGGGGATGATGTATTGACTGCTGTTTGGAAAACACTGACATCAGTGTGTAGGATGAAATATTGGAACCTCTTCTCCAGTTGTTACTGATTTTATCATGTGCAGATCTAAATCTACAAAGAATTGAGAGTTTTCTCAGTGCCAGTCTCCTGAGCTTCATGTTTGCATTATAATTATATCTCGTTGTTACAATCTGTTCAATGATTATAATGCCTGGAAATTGTAATGCTGATTTTATTTAATCACAAAACTTCTTAGGGTTTACAGCTTAAAGTAATCTAATGTTGTCAGGACCTAAGTGTTACAGTTTCAAGTGCTTTCCTTAAAAAAAAAAATGTCCTTTGAACTTTGTGTTTTGTTGTAAAAGGTCTATTTGAAGCAAATACTTTATGGTAGTTCCTTTAAAATGTATTTTGTGAGCTTTATACTCGACACGTTACAGAGGTTTTTGCAAGGGATAAAAGAAATGCAAATTGTCCTCAGTGGAGGTGTTGCTTCTCCATGTGTTACCTGGAGCCTGAGGATCTGTGAGGGGATTTGGGTGGTTACAGTGATAAATTGGAAATAAATTTGGAGTTATTCAGGTGTGCATTCAAGATGAGCTGCAGAAATACCTGGAGCAAGGAGGGCAGCCAGCTCAGTTTTGGTTTGATCCTTTTTCTATTAAATAATCACATGGAAGGGCATTCAGGACAAAGCTGTTGCAGATGAAATACTCCTCTTAATGTGCCATCTGAAGCTGTGGAAAAATATTGTAATGCTACAAATGTGTAAGAATCCCACCAATTTGTAGGTCATTAGTCCACGGTGTTGACTGGTGCCTTTGGGTATTTGGGGGGTGATCATTAAAAGAACATTTTATTTAACGTGTGCTCTCCTGAAATCCCTTGGTTGCTGCAGCTGGAGCAGGCAGGTTGCTCCAGGAAGCCAAACTGGAGTGTGGTAACTGCCAGAGATGAAAATTTGGTTACAGCTCCTCAGGTGGATACACCACAGGCTCAGATTCAGCCTGGCAGACCCACAGGGAAGGTTCTAGAAGGGTTCCCATGGATCTCCCATCCCTTGGAATGGCTCTGTGCTCCTCAGCACGAGGCTTGTGTCAGATGCATTTGAAGTGCCTACATCTCAATATTCTATTTTTATAATAAAAACCTCACTGTCTGCTGGGTCAATAACATTAACACTTCAGTGACAAAGGATTGGACTTTACACATGCACATCCCCACAAATCTGATCCCATGTTTATCCAGGATTTCTGGTGATGTTGGGCCAAGGTCAGACAAACTCCCACAAACCTGTGGGTTTTAGCTGAGCAACACAACCACACTCATCACAGTTACATTTCTGGTTGTTTACTTGGATTTTCTGGGTTTTGGGGAGTGGGTTTGGGATTTTTTAGGGGTTTTTTTGTTTGTTTGTTTCATGGGCTGGGTTTTGCACTGCTGCTCATTAATTCAGAGATTTTAAAGAGGACAAGACAATACTGCTTTTTTCTCGAGGAGATGTCATAGCTGTTAAATCCCATGGACTCTCAGAGGCTTACAGAGGAGGAGCAGGAACATTCCAGAAATTTTGACCCCATGTGAGAGCTTGGAAATTCCCAATTGGCTCAAAATGGTCCTCAGTGTTTTCCCCAGCTCCACTCAGCTCATCCTTGAGCACCATCCCAGGGTGTGGGAGGGCAGCGAGACCCCTGCACACCAGGGAAACCTTTTTTCCTCAGTTTTATCCAACACTGCTCAAAACAGGGTTTTTTCACCTCTTTTTCACTGTGCAACAGGTAAATTTTTGTAAAAGCCCTCCCATTATTTTAACCAGCAAACACCATATAATAATAATTTCATTTCCTGACCGGTTTCTTTAATACACTTGGATTTTTAAGAGTTTCCTCAATAAAATGGGAAGTGGGGAAGTGAGAAGGCAGCACATATAGGGGAGTTTCCCTTCCTTAAATATTCACCAGATGCTTTCCTGAGGAATTCAAAATCTGAGGAAATACATGAAGCTGCTTTGAGAGAGCTGCTTTGTGTTCTAGTCCCTGCCACCCCCATTTTTTCTGCTCCATCAATCCCCATCATTAAATACCATTTCATAAGCAAGTGATTTTCTTCTTCTCAGCTGCCTCCATATTCAGCTCCATTTCATCCTGTGCCATTGCAGAACCTGTGCCTCGGAAATCACAATTAGTTACCATGGAAAGCAACTCAAGACCGTAATAAATACACTTGAAGGCTGCTCACTCTGCCTAGGATTCCAAAATAAAAGTAAAAATAAGTCCTCTGGAGAACTGGGTGCAGATCATGGATGTTTGTGGGCATTGTGTGCTCGTACATCCCCAGGTTCATGTCATTATTTCATTTTCCTCCTGTCTGCGTGCATGGGAAC